TAGGTGAAAGTGCACAAGAAGCAGAAAAGTGGGGGTTATACTAAAAATCAACTAAGCTGCAAATGCGTCACTGTGACTGTTCACCAGTGTTAAAAGTCCTACTCCAGTAACATGAGAGGATTGTAGTTTTCTTCATGTGAGCTTGCAGTTTACGCTTCACAAGCCATCTTGGTCCTATCACACGTAATCCTGTGAGCCTTCCAGTCAACAAAAGGCTCACTCTTCCCTCACTGAATCAGATTATAGGCTTTGGCCTATATTACATCTGATAAATAGTACTTAAGAGGGAAATGCTTGATTCTGACTTCCTTAACCGTCAAGGATTGGTGATTAATCTGTAATGGTGGTCACTAGCATTAGCTGAGTATGGCCACAGTTGGTAGGGACTCTAGCATATATGGTTAGTCATTAGACCAGGAAAAAGATGTGAAACACAAAGCCGTGTTTACACAGCACCCTCAGAAATTCATATTTAATGCAGCGCTGCCCAAAGTGCCACCTTAATTACTGTTGGACAAAAACAACTTGCAAATGCGGATAAATAGGCTTTCCACAATTGTATTTTATTTATATTGTGTACTTTTTTGGACTGAAGCTTAATATCAGACGTGCTGTAAAGCCTACATGAGCAGGTGCTCATCATTGAGGACCACAGGGGGGCTGGAGCCAAATCCCAGCTGAAATTGAGCGATCGGTGGGGTACACCCTGGACAGGTCACCAGGCAATCAAAGGACTGACACACAGACAGAGAGCTACAGTACTCAGAGTTGCCAGTTAACCTAACTTGCAAGTCTTTGGACTGTGGGAGAAAAGCTGAGTATGCAGTCATGAGCGGAATATGCAAACTGCACACAGAAAGGCTCCAGCCAGCGAATCCTTCTTGCCGTGAGGCCACAGTGCTAACCACTGCACTACTGTGCTGCCCATGGACTGTAAATCTTTAACTGATTTCCAAACCAAAACTGGCAGACTTACATCTGTGATAGGAGCTCAAATGAATCGGGTTTTGTTTAACATGTGCTATGATAAATGCCACACATTTCAGTGCTGGTTTGTATTCAAAATATGAAGCTACTGCTAGAAGTTACTTTATCTTGGAGTGAAAACAGGGGGAAACAGCTACTGTAGCTCTAGCTCTGTGGAAAGGCTACAGAAATCTCCTGACAGAAACTGTGAAGCTAACTAATGAATGCTATATTTGTTTAATATGTGTGAAGAATAAACATGATAAGTTGCAGTTTTATGGGCCTTATATAACCAGAAAATATGTTTATACCCCTGTAAAACCATAAATTGTCATTTTTACACTTTTGGTTTTGTGAAGAGGAACTGGTAGGCAGATTTTGTTGCATTTGCTGTTTTTAGTGGCTCAGCTAAACTGCAGTCTTAAATTTAATGCACAGAAATGAGAGTGGTATCAATTCCCTTCAGTCATAGGATGTGCTGTGTAAGCCTTACAGTGCTTTATTTGGCAAATTATGTTTTATTCAGCCAATCCTACAGTGATAACATGATTTTTGCTTCTTAATACAGGCCTTCTGTGTTAAAAAACAAAAAAAAAAAGCTTTGATGTTTGTGCCAAGGGTTAAAACATCTTACATATGCTGTGATGTTTATATTAGTTTATCACAGTGCTAACCACTGCACTACTGTGCAGTACTTTTTCCTCATATTTGCTGTCACCCTTGTTGACAATAAACCTGTTTTTCTTCATGGGATGCACGTATCAGCTGCTCAGTGAACCTGTTCCCAGGAATTTGATGCAGTTCAGCCTGTGCAAATTGAATTCAGTACAGACAGACAGAAGCACATATTTGGCTTGAAACTAAAGATGTGACCTTGTGCATAAATTGCCCAGGGTGTGGCGCCCTACACAATAAGCATTAGTCATGTCTTTTACCGCTTTTTGTAAATGGATCTTGAAAGACAAGACTAACTGAAACAGCTTACCGGTATTCAGACAATACAGATTCAAAGAAAAGCACTTGTTAATCACCTGTAACCTGCACTTTGATGCCAAATGATGAGCAATAACTTTAGCAGTGTGCACGAATGTGCACTATGACATATAGAAGCCGGCTACAAGTACACAAGGTGATACCATTGCTATCAAATCTGCTTCAGTCGTGCATATTACAGGTTTATGATAGGATGCATGTACTTAAGTTTGTCTTGACTTTTGTCCAGTGTCTGTCATTCTGATCAAAGTGGTTAAACATTATAGGGTGCTTGGGTGAATAAAAACACATAAATACCATTACCTGCTGTCTTTCACAATATAATGAATAATCAGATGGGTGAATGGACACACAGAGAGACGGCTGGTCATGAACTTACAGCCAGAAGTAACATGACCTGCTGCTTTCAGTCTGGCCAGTTCGTTCCATCTCACAGCCAGAGGAGAAGATCCGGAGGGCTGGAAGCGTGCAGCCTGGTTATGTATTTGAATTATTTCATTGACGTCAGCACAGTCATAATCCTTGCTGTGGCCCATCCCTAAGCTAGCCCTGTGCCAACTCAGCTCCTTGGTGCATTGTGAAGGAGCTGTCAAGCAGGCCCTGGCGAGGTGTGTGCGTTTGTACAACTTTTGAAGCCTTTTGTTTTGATAGGTGAGGAGATAATGCCACAGTTGTAAACTATGACACAACATAATCAGGAGTGAAGGTTGTTTGTGAGAGAAAACAAAAGGCGGTGGTGTGCTGTCGGGGTTGGACATACGGTAAACGTCTACCACACCACAGGTTACTCAGAAACTACTTCTCAGAAAATCTCACCACACTCACTTCATAAAGAGTCACACCACACTTGCTCACGCTAGCATTATATCAAATTGTTTCTTACAGTTGTCACCTTGCATTTATTTATTCTTCTAGCTGGAAATGAAACAGAAAAGTGAGGCATTTGTTTCTGTGACTGTGATAAAGGTTTCTTTTAGAATCTGATAAGTCTTCAAGATTAGATGAGATGTTCCTGGTCATTTTAGTGAAGTTATGTTTTGTCCTGCAGTGAAAAAAGTTCACAAATTATATACACAAATACACTAAGAAAATAACCTTAAAAAAATAAAAATGATAACTAGTCCAACAATTCTGCATTAGTAAAGGCAAGAAAATACAATCTGACCATGTTATTTACATACAGTATCTCTATAGTGCTGACAAGTGTTTACATACAGTACATGAATGAAAGCTGAATACCTTCTTGTAACTCGATCTATATGCTACTGACAATCTAAATTTAACTAGAAAGTGTTCAAAGTGCATATATAATACTCTAAAAGAAAATAAAACTAAAATGTAAAATTTTTCTCTGCCATCTAAAATAATAATGTTAATAACAATAATATGTCAGATTATTTCAGAAAAGGTGTGAAGCAAGTATAAAGTAAATGATCAAATATAAAAGCTGGTATTTTCATTTTCTGGAAGTGAAGCACTGTACAAATGCCAGTGATTTACTCAATATGTAACCTAACTGTAACGACGTCAATGATCAAATTCAAGATATATACAGTCGGTGTATTTTCCCATGATGAGCATACGGAGCTGACTCTTCATCCGTGCACATAACTTTTTTTTTTTTTCCGGATTGGACAAATATTGTCTTTCTTTTTGTTTCCCTTTGTGAGACTTTATCTTGCTTCATTGCGCTTGTGAATAACTACAGTAGAAGTGACAAACAGGTGATTCATTCAACCAGCTACCCACCTTGTCTGTCTTAGCTCCACACGTAGCACAAAGTCAAACATAAGCAACACTGAGTATGTGCACGTATCAGTGTCAGAGCGTGTAATTTCTCCTTCATGATGTGGTAAGGTCGAGATGAGGAATGTGTGCATTTGTGTACAACTTAGCTACCTCAGAGCTGTGTACACATTAACTCAGCAGTGGCTCAAGTCTTCTTCACTCACCTTTCGTTGGAACTGGCCTCATTATTCCTGAGAAGTCCAATCAGTAAGAATAAACATTACTTAAGCCATGTTTGTTACTGAGTTAAAGTCAACCTGGCCATGAATAATTAGGTATTACATGGAAACCTCAACTGTGCGTCAAGTCTGTAAGGCTGTTTACACACAGAAGCTCATGGACGAAAATGACTTGTACTTAAATTACTTTTACATTTATATAAATTACATTTTATGCATCTACTACTGTTGCTTTGCAAATTAAGTTTTTAACAGGCAAAATATATTGTTTTTTAGATTTAACTATCCAACAGTGTATAAAGTACTTTACATTACATTATACATGACTAGTTAACATTAAAATGATAACATATTAATGCCTTAGTAATACAAGCCCAATAATATATACACAGCTTTGCATACTGGGTACTTTTGCTTTTAATAGTGAAGTACACTTTTTGGTAAAAGAGTCTGAATGGAGAATTTTTCTTGTAATATTTTTTTCATTGTGGTATTACAATTTTTTTACTTGAGTTCAGAATCTGAATACTTTATCCATCACAAACTGTAAGTCAACTCAATGAGGCAGTCCAGTTCTGCATCCCGACAGCACGGGAAACAGGTTTTGAGGGATAGGTCGGGAGCACAGAGAGGGTCAGTGTGCGGTGGATGTGAGAGGAAGGTGTCTGAGACGGGAATGGAGGTGGGTAGGGGGAGTGTTTGAGACCGGCCCTGGTCATTAGTACAGTTGATGGCTCTTACAGAGGCTGGTCTGTGGCTCTATAGAGGAGAGAGATGGAGAGAGGGGAGGTAGACGGGGTCTGTCTGCACACTGAGGTCTGTTGTCCTCTAGGCAGCCTCCAGCATATGGCCAAAGCATTTAGGACTCACCAAAAAAAAAAAGGTTTCCAGTGAGAAAGCAGGCTGGAAAAGTACCTCATACTCTGTCTGGGAGCAAGTTTTTCAGACTGAAAGTGTGTCACGCCACCTTTGACTGGTGACACTGTGAAATGTCTATCAGCCCATTTAGCACAGTATTTACTGTATGAATGACCAGAGGTGAATGACAACTCCAGCAGACTCATCTACTCTTACTGTGTGTGTATTTGTGTGCATAACTTTGTACACTTTCAACTCTCCGTTGTTATTATTACATGATTTATGTTAGTGAAGCCCAGCTCCAGGTTCAACTGTTATCATTCTTAGAAAATACATCAGATGAATGTGTCAGGCTTCAGTGAGCTTGCTGGAGGCAAGAGGTTTGAAGTCAGAGACTCCAGCCAGTAAACATATCCTTGGCAGTCTACGTTTGACAGTTTTATTGCTATCAAATTCTGAATTGTGTGTCTGAGTCAGCCACTAGCTTCAAAATGACCTGAATCCTGGTCATACAGGCAGTTTGGAGATGGCAGCCTTTTTTATGTTCTCCGACTGCCCCTTTAAAATGTCTGTCTCTATATACCCTCATCGGAGGGAATGGAGACAAGATGTGGTCACACAGTCTTGGCATCATCTCCTGCCCCTATCGGTCAAGACGGCCGGATGTTCCTATGTACTTGCTTCCAACAGCTCACCGCCTTGTGCATGAGCTGCTTTGATGTTGTACTTGCTCTGTACTGCGCTCTTGCTATTTCGAATAGTTTGGACCACAAGGCTTGATCTCTGGTGGTATATTATAGCGAAAGGTTCTTTGAATTCTCCAACCTGGTGCTCAAGTAAAGAAAAGTTGTTCTGACCTGAGAAATGTCAATAATGCCAACAGTCTTCCCCTTGTAATCAGGAGCCAATGGTATTATTTCTTTAAAAATGTGCAGTCAAGTATAAGAAGGAGAAACTTGACTGTTGAGAGTTGCCCTCACCATGTTGTTTTTATACCTTTCAGTGGTGGAAGGTGTCCTTAGCTGCAGATGTATCAGTGAAGTTCTTTGTTATACGTGATGGCGTACAGACACTCAACCTCGGTGGTTGAGCGTCTGTACGCCATCACTGTGCTTTGATCCACTATATTGACGTAAACTGGGGAGCAGAATGCTGGCTGTCCTGTTGTGCTAAGCATATGGGATAAATTTCTTCCATGTGCAAAGCCCTATGAAGTAGCGATCAGTATTTTCCATAGAAAAAGGAAGGTGGGGAGATCCAGATGTGTTGAGTGTTTGCTTCCTCCAGGCAGACATTTGTTGAATCAACATTCTCGCTGGTAAATCAGAATTTGATACTTTTAAAATTTAATTCCTCATGTTTTATCTTTTTTTTTTTTTATAGACCACTGTTTTTCTTCTAAAACCTGTTTGCCTGCCACGAGTCATAGCTTTTAATGACAGAGCTATTTCATCGAATGACAGCTGTGATTGTTCTCAGCAGTCATTCCGCCACTCAGTAATTCTGCTCCGTGTTTTGTGTGAGTTCAAGGCCAAAGAGGAAGTGCTTTGGTTTCTTTGGCTCACAGCGAGACCCTGCCTGGTCTCTCCCAAATTCAGGGAGTCAAAGTTTGCTTCTCGTGTTGCTTGTGCAAACACATTGATTGGCGTTTGATGTCATTTTTTTTCTCTCCCCCAGAGAGCTTCAGAGAGGAGAGAACCAATCTGTGAAGCACGGTGGTGTGAGTTGCTGCTGCAGCTCAGCAGAGTACAGCCTTGAAGTGGCTGTGCCTTATGTATGCACAATTTGGGGGG